GTTTGGATACACCATCAGAGAACAGTAACAAATGTGGGTGGGAAGATGATCTTCCTAAACCCCACACTGCGGAAGTAATTAGGAAAGGCTCCATCCCTGAGTTTACAGCAGCACAGGAAACAGAAGATGTTTGATGCTGGCATATGTTCAGGATTTGAGAACAGCACCAGGGGGTTGACGTGAAGGCAATCGAACCCTATAAAAAAGTTATCAGCTATGGAAGATATTACAGGGATGGGTTTGTTGTCTGTTTTATATCTGAAAGTGATCAATCTAACTATACCGGATGGACAATCTCTTTAAGTATGTTATTGGCACTTTGGAGCTAGTAATAAACCACATGATAGTTTATTTAAATGGTGCAACAACTCAAAGAAAAATGCCCAGTCTGGGATGGCTTATAAAATGCTATCAGCAAATTGGTTAAAAACTCATGGAAAAAAACTAAAATCCCTAATCATCACACCTATGTCTTTAATTTAGCAGAACTAGCAGAACTTGTTCCCATGGAATATGCTGGCTTACCAGAATAAATGAAACAAGTTGATCAAGAGCTTAATGTAAAACAAGATGAACCAAAAAGTGAAGCAATGCTCTTTTTTGCATTTGTACTGCATTTATTGACTGGCATTTTTATGTGATCTGTAACAAAATTGACTTTTTCTTAATAGACTTTTGTACAGGGGACTGTTTGCTGCTGTATTGGTTTACAAATCTCTTGAATTTAGCTCTTTTTAAATTTTTAGTTGTAGATGGACATAATACCTTTATTTACTTATTTTTATGAGAATCAAATGCAGTGCCTCACTCATGCAAGGCAAGTAAGTGCTCCTACGCTGAGCTACAACCTGAGCCCCTTGAATTTAGGAGCTAATTAATTATATTGTAATAATTTTGTATTTTATAATACTAAATAGCAGAGAACTATATAAGGCAGTTTTTGCATTTGTTTATTGAAAGATGATGCATTTTCAGGAAACTATATGTATATATAGCAAAGAAAAGAAATAATATATATTTTTATGTTTTTGAGCAATATTTTTAATGTATACCTATTTTGCAGAAGAACAGGCAAGCTAATAAATTTTTTTGGTACCAGGGCATGAACCCAGGAGTGCTCAAGCCACATTCCCAGCCCTTTTTATATTTTATTTAAAGACAGAGTCTTGATAAGTTGCTTAGGACCTCACTAAATTGCTGAAGCTGGCTTTGAACTTGAAATAGTCCTGCATCAGCCTCCCAAGCTGCTGAGATTACAGGTGTGTGCCACTGAGCCTGGCATGAGACTATGGTCTTATAAAATGCATGTTAGATGTTTTGATTTTGTAAAAGGTTGAATACATTTTCTAGGTAACTTTAGAAAATTATGTTGCTTTAAGGTAAGGTTCAGTTACACTGATTCTCATGAACACTCAATTTCATATACATAACCTAAGTAGATTTGTACCATTAGCTTTTTTCTCACTTAATGTATATTGTTCATTAATTCAAAGCACAAACAAAGTGAATTGTATTTTTCCTCTCTGAAAACAAGTCAAAAAGCTATTTTTAGAAGTAGAAATTTAATATTCTAGGTGTTGGTGTGTGGCAGGGGTGAGGGTACATATATATATGGAATATTTTATCTTCTGGCCCAAAGTCAAGACTTTTTACAAAAGTCTTGGAATTGTTCACTAATGTGAAATAAACTGGTGTCCAGGGTATTGCTCGCCGAATGTGGAAGTGCTTTGAAATATTGCAGAGAATGTGATAAGTGGTCACTGTCACAATTTCTGTAGGAAACAGGGGCTGTGTTTGTTGTTGTTGTTGTTTGTTTGTTTGGATTTTTTGTTCGTTTGTCTGTTTTGGTACCAGGGATTGAACCCAGGGACACTTAACCACTGAGCCATATCCCAAGCTCTTTTTATTTTTTTTTATTTTGAGGCAGGGTCTTGCTAAATTGCTGAGGCTGGCCTTGAACTTGCAATCCTCCTGCCTCAGCTTCCTGAAAGGCTGGGATTACAGGTATGTGCCACCATGCCCAATTCAGGGCTGCTTTTTAAACTATTCTGCCTGTGGGTATTTCACCAAAATACTTCCATATCAATTACTTAAAGTCAGTAGTAGTTTGAAATACTCAGCGATTATGTGCTTTCAAGTTTCTGTTGAATCTATTTGACAATAATACTATGAATTAAGTTAATTTTTTATGTCTTAGAGCATTACTATAATGTGCTGTTTGGGATGAAACATTTGATATAAGTGTGTAAGCTTCTTGTTTCATTTGGTAAGTACCTATACATTGAAATAAATTCTATTTGTGCCTCAAAAATAAATAAAGTAAAAGTCTTCTAGGAATAATAAAAAGGAGTCTCTTAGGATGTGGTAGCTAGTCTGCAAAATTGTCCCTAATGAGCCTCTCCTGCTGATACTCCAAGAGGAATGCAATTCAATTGATTTAAATCAGGCTGGCCCCCTCACTAAAAATGCCATGCATCTTTAGCCAGGGCCTTTTGGAAAACTTACTTTGAGCAAGCCAGCAGCTCAATGAGGAAGCCCCAGAGAAACCATGGGGGCTGGTGGAGATGCCTAGCCAGCCTGTTTCTTTCAGCTATTCCAGTGGGAACATCATTTGTGTGGGTAAAGAAACCATCTGGGATATCCAGTCCAGACTACCTGCTATGTGACTACCATCATATGGAAGACCCCAAGCTGGAACCCCCCAGCTCAACCAAGTCATCCTAAGAACGATGAGAGAGAGTAGTTGTTTTAAGTCACTGAATTTTAGGGTAGCTTATTACATAGCATCTATCGCTGGAATATAGGATGATTTTGATTTTTCCTTTTTCATGGCAGGTTTGTTGAATTGATTAATATAAAATTCACAAGGCATCTAGGACAAAGTCATTGATCCATATCAGGACTGATTTCTGTTGATTTGCTGCCTCTTGCCAAAGATGCATTGTTTTTAGAAAACATATTTCAAGGGGTAAAATGACTGGTAAGTGAAACCAAAATAAAAGAGGGAGAAGGAAAAACACTTTGACTTTTCAGGCTTGAGTTCTGTCACTTATAAATGATTGCTGTGAACAAACAGCTGTGCTAGTCACAGATTTTTCAAAGGATGGATTTTAAGGAATTATTGGAATTTATTGAAGTTCTCTTTATAGTTTAATTTGTGGATAATCAGAATTACCCCATTAGTTGTCTTTCTTATTACAGTCAGGTTTATTGAGATAAAATTTATATACAGCAAGAGTCACACTTTTTAGGTGTCCATATCTCAGAGTCTTAATAAGCATGAAAGGACTTATATCCACCACTAGAATCAGGGGAGAGTATTTCAGTAACCCCCCCAAAATCCCCTCATGCCTCTTCATTATCAATCTCCTCCTTACCTCTCCATCCCCTGGTAAA